TAAAAAAATGTACCTTAGGCCAAAACAAAACGAAATGTGCTCGGTTATCCAATGGTAGTTTACCAATATCGTTTATAGCTGATACTAAAGGCCCAAACGTAATAGCTAATGATAATATTGCTAGAGGTATTGTTAAACTTTTAACTGTTTTTATGTTTTTTTTATAAGCCACATTTGGATTCAATGCTCTTTTGATGGACCATTGGATAAATTTGGTTTGTATGCAATCGTAATTGGACACGATGCTTTTTTTTTTTAATACAAATACCATAAACAGTAAACTGAAATATATTCCAACTATTGTGTACTGAATTAACTCCATAGCCATTGGCATATCAGAAATTTGGTCCCAAATATTGTACGCTGCAGCCAAACTTACCTGATAATTCATATAAAATATTATATAACTTATATACGTCATGAATAATTAAGTCATTAAGAAAATATATTATATTTAATTTTAAGAACATAAGGTATAATTAATCATGATAATGTATTATGAATAATGTTATTTATAGCGTGAATGATTTTAATAGTCAATATGAATACAGTCATAATATTTTAGCTTTTGTCTTTGTATTTCTATTTTTGTAAATTTAATCGCCTAGTTTATAGATTAAATTAAAACATTAAATAACTCTCTGTCTCCTTACCTTCAACATAAGCATAGGTTATAGAAGGTAGATAAATCATAATATAATTATAAGTATATAATTATATTCATATTTTTTTAAATATATATCACCTATCTTGGCTATCTTAAATAAAGGCTTCGACATCTTGAAATATTAGCCTACGCTCTATAGCAGGGGTGGACAACTTGCGGCTCGCGTCTTATTTAAAAAAAAAAACAAATGTTTATTAACGATAAAATTTAAAAAAAATAAAATGTCTTTATAAACTGCATTTTGGCTCTTGGCCCTTGATATCATTGTATTTATCCATGTGGCCAGTGGAAATATTCATGTTGGCAACCTCTGCCCTATGGTTACTCATATTTATACATTTAAGTAAATGGTTATTAATTTTCATTATAGAAAAAAAAATGTAATAGCTGATTGAGTAAATTATACTTAAAGGGCGCAAAACTCGCATGTTTTCTCTCCATCTTAGGAACGTACAACATAGTGTCATAGTATACATACTAAATTCGTGTTCAATTTCAATAAAACCAATTATGAGTTGTTAGCTTTAATAATTAATATAAGAATAAATTTATCTCCTATCAAACTTTAAGTTAAGAATACTATCTACGGACTCTTATTATAGATACTTAAATTTTAAAGTGAGTTATAGCCATGTAAAATACTAAAATTCATCTTTAACTCTTTTTGTAAGAACCGGTTGGTGTATGTACATAATAGGATAAATAAATAAATGAATAAAATATTACAATTATATATTAATATATTATGCTCATAAAGTCATAATTCGCTTTAAAATGAAAATATCAATGTATAAGTATATACGAAGAGCACCAATAACATATTCACATTTAAACTCAATGATAGATAAATTCATTCTAATATTCAAGTAATTAACGAACAATTAATCAATGTATTGATTTCACAATGATATATGTATTATTTTTATTAAATTTTTTTTTTGTGTCTGTCATCACTTTTTGGGGCAGTAAAAATGATTTGGTGTTCTTCAACAGTATATTTTCTGATAGGAAAGTGAATCTTGTACTTAAGAGCGTCAAAAGTCAAAAATTCCCAATATTTTTCAAAATCGATAGGAAAAACAAACAAAATAAAATAAAACTGTTCATTTTTAACAAAACCAGTTTTTGATAAAATCGATTTTGATATCGATTTTTTTTTTTGTAACTCTATAAACAAATTACAGTAGATACATGAAATTTTCACTGAATATTTATATTAGCATTTTCTATATAGTACATCATACGATTTTCAAAATATTTCTCAACTCTTTTCAATTTATTTACAGACGTTTGAAATTTTCGTTTTTTAAATTTTTTTCTATGAATGTCAATATAATTTTATTAGTTGCAGGGTAAAATAGCTTAATAATTTAATACAAGGCTCTTAATATATTTTTATAGTGGTGGTTGAAAAATATTAAAAATACAAAACTAGTCACACATTTTTTATAAGCATTTAAAGTTTAAATGTTATTAAAATTTATTAGTTAAAATATCCTAGACTGATATTATATCATTMAAGTCAAATTTAATACAATCTATTGCAGTACATGAAACACTTATAACTCTGTAATTATAGGCTGTATGGCACTTACCCACTTTTTGATGAAATGTTTAAATTGGTTTATGAAAAACTATAAGTATACGAAGTATACAAAACCTTGTGTTAAATTGTCAAGCTTTTTTTGCCAAAAATAAATATGCATCATACATTAATCAAAGAAAAATTAAAAGTTGAAAGTTGAAAATACCTATAA